GATAAGCGGTAGAAGATGGATGGATGGAAGAGGGACTTTAAATGATGGCAATGTGTGCTGGCTCCAATTTCATATGAGTTTGAATGTTATTTGCTAATTCTGAACACAGCCGCATCACATCAGAGGGTGTGCATAGTTATTTTGCACTACCCAAGTGAATTGCAAAGGTTTTACGTTACATTAATGGTCTAAAATCTTTTGAAATTATTTGATCATGGACTAATTTTTAACATTGCAAAAATCTGGCATTTGAACAGGGGTGTGTAGACATCTTATGTCTGTCTCTATAGTATGAGCAATAACGTTGAACTATGGCATTTGGACATGTACCGTATTTTCACGACTATAAGGCGCCATTAAAAGTCTTAAATTTTCTCCAAAATGGACAGGACGCCTTATAATGCGGAGCGTCTAGTGCATGCGCCGAGTTCCAAAGCCTGACTGAGAGCACTTCTGGCCGACACGCTGTTTATACAGAGAAAAGGCGGGCGTGAGTGACGACAGGCATGCGGAAGTCCGCCAATGAGTGAAGGGTGGGCGTGTAAGAGGACGCTAAAGGCACGCCCCTAGCAGGTACCAGTCGCCAATGAGTGAAGGGTAGGCGTGTAAGAGGACGCTAAAGGCACATCCCTAGCAGGTACCAGTCGCGTGAGTACGTTGTAAAATGGCTAAATAAAGTACAATCGAACTCAGTTTTACTTCCGTTGCCTTTTTAAAAACGTCTTTTTAGCGTGTGTCCGTATGTCTTAGCTGCTACCGTATGCTTTAAGCTAGCATACCTGGTATGTTTTAGCGTGCATGCATGCTATCGTATGGTTCAAGCTAACGTGTTTTTCGCGTGCGTGCGTGCGTGCATGCCGTATGTTTAAGCTCCCGTATGTTTTACCATGCCTGGCTGCGCCCAATAATACAGTGCATTTTGTGTATGTGTCAAATACAGAAATAGCACCCGTTACTGAGACTGTGCCCAACAATACGGTGCGCCGAATGGTCGCGAAAATACGGTACTTGATATCATCTTAATTCGGAGAAAAGACGCAGCAGTGAATGACTACATCATTCTTATTAAATATAGAATTTCGTAATGTACCTGTATCTCATGCCAATATTTCGATTTTATCTTAAATGACTACATGTCAATGTGCGGCATACCTCCATCAAGAGCCAGTTTGGACCTCCACTCAACAGGAAGGAACTCAACATGCTCTGTGGTGCGATTCGGAAAGTGCTTCTCTTCCATTTTTCTGGCAGCATCCCTCATCCTGCCAACAAAAACGTGTTACCGAAAACAGTAACATTGATTGAATATTGTACTGAGTAATTTAGCATACATGCTGGTGTTCCTTATAATGCGACCCTGGTCCATCTTTTGACCGATGCCATGCACCACAAACACGATGTGGGTGGTTTCGGGCGGTGTGTCCTCCGGCGCTGCCTCCTCTACATACCCGCGGTGGAGACGTGTCCCGCTACTGGAAGCTGTCGGGTAGGAGGAGCGGGGGGCCGCATGTTAGCTTCTCCGGTTGTGTGTCCAGCAGTGTGAAGAATCAATGTAAAAACCATGCCTGCCAATTGCACACCTTTCCGCTCCCATGACACGAGACAAATTTAAAATGAACACATGGACACACATGGATAGCTGTGATATGTCTCCATGCAAGATGTGAGTGCAACCGCATTGAAAGAAAATGAAAGCTATGTTGATTGGCGACGAAAGAAGTCGGCTGTGTTCATGCCCACAACAGCGCAAACTGCCCTTTTTTAAATAATGCTGGCTTAGACTCCTGCAATAAAAATAGAGCGTACTGTGTTGCTTTGCAATAATTTCTCTGCCATTGTGATTTTCTTGGAGAATATTGAATTACATTTTCATCAAAGGGTGTGAGAATGAGTGCATGGAAAATCCAGATGTGTGGTGAGATGCGTTTTATGGTCGTCTATGAACATGTATTACAAGTTTTCCATATACCTTTCGAAAATCCCAGTTTCTGAGTAACAGTTCGTGCAATCTTGGATGTGGTGGCGTCGCTGTACAGGTAGACCAAATCCACACTGTGCCAGTCGACATGGCTGCGGCTCAGCTTCAAACTGTGAATAGCTGACAAGAGAGTGAGACAGGAATTAACAACCAGTTCAATTTGAACTATTCCCCCAATAGTTTTTGTGCGTGTACGCTACTCATGCAGTTAAGCAGCTGTACTTTATCGCTTGATTCTACACATATGGTTCTTTTCTTACCATCTTTGCTGTCTACTGTGGTGGTCACTGCCTCAATTTCATATGTGTCCCTCATTTGTTGACCCCGGAAACGGACCAGGTGCTCTTGCTCAATCGTGTCACTCTCGTCCTCCTCCAAAGGAAGCCAGGTTCCATCAATGAACCACTGACCTCGCATCACAGGAATGCGATCTTGCTCTGGGTAAAATGAAAATCAACACCTCTGATCAGATTCTTCTGATGTCACCTCTATTTCTTTCTTTTTTTTTCTTTTTTTTTTTTTACTAAATTTCTCAGCATTCACATTCTACTTCTTAGGCAATTTATATTACAGTAATCCCTCGTTTATCGCGGTTAATGGGGACTGAAACCACCTACGATAAACGAAAATCCGCGAAGTAGCGACGTCCCCCCATATAGGTATATGTGCATGTGTATGAGTAGAAAAAATATTTATAAGGCCAAATTTAATGGTATACATGCATGTAGAAGTAAATTTTGTAGTAATTAACATTACTTAATGCTGTATACTAATAGATTTAAACATGTATAATTTAGATTAGGTTCGTGTATGAATAACAAAATACAGTAAACATATACATGTAGTACTATATATGTTGCTCTTTGTGACTCGTTGTTTTGATGACTTTCGCTGATTCTCGTGGACCGTTTGCGGACTTTTTGCGGACTTAAATTTTCATTTATTTATTTTTCATTAATATGTTTGGAAAACGGTTGTGATAAACTAACCGCGAAATAGCGAGGGATCACTGTACTAGCTTTTAATTTAAAATCTGGGTGACGTGGTGACTCAATAGTGGATTTATCAACATGGCTTGATATGACTAGTCACGCAAATGCCATTATTGCTAGTAAGTGTCATAAAGTAACAGGGGGAATGCAAGAATGGTTGTCCTTATAGTGGACAGTATGTGCCCTCCAGTGTGAATTGAAGGATATGCTTTAAATAAGTTGGGATAGTTTCCAGCGCTCCACCACCTTGAAGAGGAAGGCATGTGCATGACATTTTTGGGTGGCAGGTGCTACAGCCCAAAAAAGGGCTTTTGCTTTTTATATGGCTTATTTCTTGAAACACTTAATCAAGGCAAATTTATCAAGAAATCTTACAAGAGATGGGGTGTTCATCTGGTATTTAGAGACTACATGCAACTTTTTACCCCTGTTGTGAATTGTAGTTTGATTAGTCACCAAGGGAGGGTAATAATAGTGTTGTAGTGATTTAATGAATAATTATTGAGTATAGGCCTACTTCTTATTGCCGGTTGTTCAGTGTTTACAGTGCAGGCTTAGAAACAAGAACATTGCGTGCTTACGGTTCCAGTAAACAGGATAACATTCCTTCTCTCTGATGTCCACCTCATAGAGGCCTCCCCTCACACACACTGCCTCCATGTTAATGCTGTTGTCATCCCGGTCTCTCAAATCCTCAGACGCTGAAGGCCGTTGACGGACCGCCGGTTCAATACGAACGATGCACTCATCCACTGTCACGCTCTCCGCTGGCTGGATCTCACCGGACGTGGCGACATCTTTGCCCCCGGTAGAAACGGGTTCACAGTGGCGTTTGACCTTGTCGGGGTTCTGCTCACTGAACCTTCCATAAGCGGTCTCGATTTTTAATGAGTCGTGTCCAACGAACGGCTTCCAGGTCCGCTTGTCCTCTTTGTAAAACCACCTGACCTCCTCCGGGCCCAGCTCCGTGACGATCTCACCCCTGTGCCTCGAGCTGTTGGAACGTATGCGTTTCTTGGTTGTCACGTTGCCGTCACTTTCCGTGTAGTTCGGGTCGATGTCCAGATAAGACGGACTCGAGTATTCTTCTTCAGATAGGCCCAGCATTATGCCATCCTGTGATAAAAGAGGAATGTGTCTGTCCAAACCGGGTTCGGCTGGGTCACTCTCGCCGGTGCGGTTCTCCACTCCCATCGGGTTCTCGTCGTAGCCGGACACGAAAACATCATTTGCCATGTCCCATTCACTGCTGCTCACCGAGTTATTATCCGAGCTCTGCTGGCGCATAGTCGCTTTGTCCTTCATATTGCTCATGATTTTAATTCAAATTGCTCGACATAGAAAAAACGCAACGCGTGCTTCTATAATCCCAGCATAAAGGCTTCTTTCTTCCCACCTTGTAACATCTGTACGCCTGCCGGTCCCGACCACAATATTCGCTCACATTACGACTATATTCATCACTCACATTATAGCAACGGATTCCAACAAACCGATCCGAACCTTTTCAGTAAAATATATCATGTTGCGAGTCTACATATCTCTCCCTCTCTCTCTTTTTAATCGTCGTACATCACAGTTAGTTCTGTTAGAATTAAACGACGCTGGTTTGGAAGCCAATCTCAGCAGTGTGGTTGTAAACAAAATGACAAGAGAGATTCCGGTTAAACTCATCAAAATAAAATGACTCTCGAAAAAAAAAAACGAGTTTAAAAAGAATATTATAACAGATAAATACTGTCGACTAAACAGCATTAAAAACATTTAATTGTGAGATTTTTTTTAATTTTTCAATGTATTTCAAGGAAATAAAGTGTTTCGAATTCTTAATGTTTTATTTTGAATTCCCATTCGTAACAACATAGCGTTCAAATTTGTAGCAACAAATGAGATTTATTTTCCTATACGTTTATTGTGGCTTTGGTCAATTTTTTTAAATATTCGATTAAAAATATTGTGTATGTCAGAGCCAGAAAAGTAACAATTATAGGCCCAATACGTGTTTGTATAAATCGCATTTATTTTAACCCTCGAGACTCGCCGTACTTCAGGCTTGAGCCTGTCATGGCAGTGGTCAAATGTTCCTGTTTTTATGTTTTGGGTAATTATTTTCTTGTAGTGCATAATAGATAGGAAATGGCTGGAGGTTATTTAATCACATTGTACGAGTATTCGCCACTCTTTTACATTAGCGTGGTTTCTTTGTGTTTTGTTGTGACAGCTGCCATGGTCCTCGGCTGGTAAGTGATGTTTCGCCATATGTGACTTCACTGTAAACAGAGCAACCGTCGATATCTATTTATGACACAAGTCTGTAATGTATGAGTGAATTTCATTCCTTTTGATTCGAATATTTATAACCCCACGATGCACGTAGGTATCCTATATAACACGAGGTGCAGACTGGACTATTAAATCTCGTTTCATGGTTGTGGATCTTCATTTCCCTCTATGCTTGCCATTCTGAAAAATCCAACGTGTCTGAAATTACACGAATATTGTTTCTTTTGCTATTACGCATCTACAGGGCAACAAGAATTTAAATAACAAGCATTTGGCTCTCGACCTTGGAGCAGCTCCTTTAGCTAAATCAATATACACATTATCAATTTGCCCTTTCAATCTCTTCATTTTAATATCTTCTTCATTTGCTCATTAAGACATAAATTCAGTTAACTGTAATGTAACTCAAAGTTTAATGCAATCAAAGTTTTATGTTATGTGTTCTCTTATTTTATATCTATAAATTTTTTTTTAAAAATCTATCTCATTTTTATCCATCCAACACTTTCGTTGTCTTGGTTTCCCTGGACAAAACAGAACTACCATCCGCGCTCCCACACACACACCTAGGGACAATTTGGCGAGTTCCATAAACCCACCATCCATGTTTTTGGAATGTGAGAGGAAACCGGAGTACCCATAGAAAACCCACGCAGGCACAGGGAGAAAACATGCAACTAACTAACCAACCAGTCCACCTCTGTTGTTGTTGTTTTTTTTTTTAATTTTTAATGTTCTGTCAAGTGCTGTGTTACATCAGCTGTTGTGCAAGACCAATATAAATAAACATGTATTGAATTTTATTCATGATCAAAATAATCCACCTTGGCTTTTCTGAAAAAAAAAAAAGATTTGATTGTGTCCCCTCTGAATGTATAAAAATAATAATAGTAATAATAATAATTAGTATAAAAAAAATAACAGACCCCCGGCTGATTGAGATGACCCATGACTGAAGTGACATTGGTCTCCCCATATAACTTTCCAAAATTTCACATTATGACTGTCTGAGTGAGTCCTCCCCTATCTTCCCGATACGCCAGCCCGCCCCTAGTATTCACTGTGAAAATATTATATTTAAAAAAATACTGTATATCCATGTTAATACATGATTACCAGTCACTCCATATTATTATTTTTGCTTCAATGTCTTACAGGTTTGGTTTTGATGTCCCGGTGATCCTGCGTAGCTCTGATGACACAGAGTCCATCCAACCAACACCTGAAAAGCAAATGGTTCAAGTGACTAATCCCTTTTCCCTCGAAATTGGTTCAAGATCCGCATCTGTTGCCGGTAAGAAGTACAGCACTCGGCCATTCAAACTTCAGCGGAACCTCCATATTGAGGCACATTCAGTTGTTTTTACATGGTGGGGGGGATCCTATTCACTGGCCCAAAAAGGTCTGCGGAATTGATTCAATTGGTCATAAAATGAAATCTTTGTGTACAGTGAAACTCCTCTACAACGAAATCATGTTTGCAGCAAGATTTTTTCACAACAGGGGGTTTTTCACTGAAGCAAATTTTATCTCAGATGTAAACACACACACACACACACACACACACACACACACACACACACACACACACACACACAAAACGTATATGTGTACTCTTTATTTTTATTCCAATACTATACATAGTGCATAAATATGAGCGTTCACTTATTTGATATTGTTTAACATTAACATACAATTGTTTTATATTAATCACTCCACTTTATCTGTTGGTTTTAAAAAGTCATTTATACTGTTTTGCTTCCCAACACTTCTCAATTTCTTGAATAATAAATTGCTGAATAAAAAATGAATAAATAAATAAATCATAAAATTATTTAAATATGACAACAAATGTGAATGTGAATAGTACTGTGACTATTGTATTTATATTGCACTTAATTGACTTATTGACCTTATCCATATTTGTATTTATATTGCACTTAATTGGACTGTGTTTTCTTTTCTCTTCTTTCTACCCACAATCTTGCTGCTGAAGGCTGTAAATTTCCCCAGTGTGGGACAAATAAAGGATATCTTATCTTAATGTCTTTTATTTTGCTTCCTCTGTCTTTCATTTTGATCACTTTTATCCTCTCTTCCAGCGTCAGAGCTCTTCTTGTCTTAGCTGCTTGACATCCAAAGGTCCGTTTTGTCACCATTTTAGCAATGCAACGTTCTTGCTGCGTCTGAAACGAACAATAACAAATCCTTTCTGGACTACTGCGCATGTGTAAACCAATGTGGTGGTTGCTGTTGCCGTTTCCGAACGAAGCAGTAGAGGTTGCTGTTTGATTAGACTTTTGCGGAAGGCTTGTTTTCGATGTAGTGAATCTCGTCTAGAGGCAACAGCAGAGAAAAAGATTTCGTATAACGGAACAGGGGGATTTTTCGTCGTGGGGGGGCAGAAAAGTGGGAATGGCTTTCATGCATGAACATTTTTTCACATTATGGGGTATTTTCACCCAAGTAGGTTTCATTGTAGAGGAGTTTCACTGTATTTTGACTGAAGACCGTCACAGACCTTTTATATAACCCCCCGCAATTTCCCCTTTCATATAACTTCTGGTGTACTGCGTATTGTTCTCACTAGGGGGAGCATTTCGGTCAACCTTTTGGAAGTTTGACCGAATTGAGCCCTTTGTGAGATGATGGCAGATTAGGGTTGATGGTTTTGTATGACCTCGCATTCTTGCTTTCCAATCCTCCAGATGGCGCGTGGTTGAAGCCAGGTTGTTTGGAGCACTGCGTCTTAAGCTGTTTCTGGGGTTGCGAGGTCAGCGCCCTGCAGCGAGCGTTGCAGGCCCACCAGGGTGGCTCCAGGTTCAGCACCCCACAGCATTTCAAGGAGGCGTTGCATCGCTTCTATCATCACGGCCAGAGCTACTAGTATCCTTTTGAAAATACCGTGCTGGTCCATGAATTCTTAATTTACATGGAAATGAATTCTGGCAGTGCAATCTTGGAACACGGAAATCTAGACCTGGCCAAATGAAGAATCCCCCCCCGCGCCCCTCATTCTCCCACTGAAAATTGTCACGGGACACCCGAAGTGTCTTTCAATGATCTTTTTAAATGTTTTCCAACTTGGTTGTTTTGGAAATATGAAAATACTCACTTATGATTGAAATCTATTGCCAGATAAAAATACTGTATAAAATAGAAGTGCATCCATATCAGCTTCCCAAACCCTCTCTACTCTTTGATTTTTGGTCAATCTAATTTGGATTCCAATTCCAAATAAACATGGATTGCCATGGTTATTCACCATCATCATACAGAAATAGGACATATTGTTGTCAATTCTTTTTATTTTGAACTATCCATCCATCCATTTTCTACCACTTATCCGGAGTCGGGTCGCGGGGGCAACAGCTTTAGCAGGGAAGCCCAGACTTCCCTCTCCCGAGCCACTTCTTCCAGCTCTTCCAAGGGGATCCCGAGGCGTTCCCAGGTCTGCTGGGAGATATAGTCTCTACATCGAGTCCTGGGTCGTCCCCGGGGACTCCTGTCGGCGGGACATGCCCGGAACACCTCACCAGGAAGGTGTCCAGGAGACATCCTAATCAGATGCCCGAGCCACCTCATCTGACTCCTCTCGACGTGGAGAAGAAGCGGCTCGACTCTGAGCCCCTCCCGGATGACCGAGCTTCTCACCTTGTCTCTAAGGGAGAGCCCGGGCACCTTACGAAGGAAACGCATTCGGCCGCTTGTATACGGGATCTCGTTCTTTCGGTCACGACCCGCAGCTCGTGAGCATAGGTGAGGGTTGGAATATAGATCGACTGGTAAATTGAGAGCTTTGCCTTTTGGCTCAGCTCCTTCTTTCACCACGTCTGACTGATACAAAGTCTTCATTTTGTACGACTTTATCAGGAAAAAAAAGTGATGGACAGGAATACAAAACATTACATTTTGGGTTGTGGTTCGGCTAACTATCATGAGCTCGAAAATGATTTGAATGCGCCCCTCTGACAAAACTGCAGACTTTTTTTTTGTGAATGGTGTCTGTCAAAGCTCTGATTGTTTGGATCTTTGACAAGATTCTCCTAGTATCAGCAACGAAGATAGAGAGGAACGCTACACTTGTATTCCAGCTGATCAGGGACTCTCAGATTTTGGCCCATTGCCCAGACGACACTATCCTCTCGTGGCTGTGTTGACCTTGGCGGAACAAGAAGCCCGAGACACCTACGACATTGTGAGTTCTTTGAATATCAACAAGAGTGTGATTTTTTTTTTCTCAACTGAAGTCAGAATGTCAAAACCATCTTATTAGAACACACCATGCCGTCTTCTTTCAGGTTGCCAGTGTCACCGTAATTCATGTACCAGATGATATATACAACCTGTCTGCAAGGATCCTCTTCCAGTACCTTCTCACCTCACGAGGGAACATGTACGAGTTAAAAGTATGTTTTCACGATGGCAAGCCGACCATACTTTTGTACTTCGAGTCTCCAAGTTGCACTTGTTAAATGTGATGCATGTTTCAGTCTTTCTTTTAAACTTTTCCAAGATACCGTATTTTCCGCACTGTAAGGCACCTCGGAGTATAAGGCGCACCTTCAATGAATGGCTTATTTTAAAACTGTTGGGCCTATTTCAATCCTGTTAGGGCTATTCTATGCGCCTATAAGGCTATATAGCTACAATAGTGGCTGCGGTTGCGCTATGCATCCACTAGATGGAGCTATGCTAAAGGGAATACAATACAATACAGCTATTTGTATAGAGACCTGGCTGTGGTTGTGTTATGCATCCACCAGATGAAGCTACACTAAGGGGAATACAATACAATACAGTACAGGTCTAGTTTTAGAGTCTTCAGAACCGTTGCAGCGCTTTACAGAACATTTAGAATACAACGTCCAAAAAAATCTGAATATTGATCCATATATAAGGCGCATCGGATTAGAAGGCGGACTGTCGGTTTATGAGAAAATCGAATGCTTTTCGGTGCGCCCTATAATGCGGAAAATCCGGTAAATGAAACTGAAATCATTGACCGATCCCTCTTGCAGGCTCTCTTCATGTCGGCTAATATTAGTGTGGAATCTGGCCATCCTGATCCCGACCCGATTACCCGTCCCAGTGAGACCGAGCATGAGGAGGAAGAGGCGGCTGGAAAGGTGGCGTCATCGGTAGAGGATGATGAGGAGGAAGATGATCAAGGCTGGTCAGATGGGCAGGGCAGAGACTGTGTCGTGTGTCAAAACGCAGCCATCAACAGAGTGTTGCTGCCCTGCAGACATGCTTGTGTGTGCGACAGTTGTGTCTCTCACTTCAAACACTGCCCCATATGTCGAGCTTTCATCCAGGAGTCCTTTGCCCTGACTCTTGGTCTTGCCGTGAACAATGAACTACATTACGAGCAACACTGAACAACTGGCACGACAAAATCAACCCCAAAGCAATATGTGTCACGCTAGCATAGTCTATTAGAATTCTTTTCAACCGTATTGCTTTTCTATGAAGAACATGAAGATTTACGCATCCTTCCCTGTTGAATTTTCCTTCAACACTGAAGGGCCACAAGACATTTGAGGATTTTTTAGCAACATGCTAATTAAGTTGCTTGCTGGTTTGACTCAAGGCTGTAATAATTTAGAATTGGCTTGAATTGTATTTTTGACACCGAGGAAGATTGTAGTTGGTGTGTAGTAATTGTTTTCACATTTGTTTGAATATTTTGTGTAGTTATTACACAGAAGTGTGAAGTTTTATGTTTCTCCTTTCTCCCAACAGTGCGTTCATGAGGTATGAACATTTGTTTGTCTACCCCTATTGATACCTCGCACCCTAGTAATTTAGCTGGGATGGGTTCCAGCCGCCCTGTGACCCTGGACATAAAAAAATTCCTGATTGTGAATGTAGGAACAGGTGGTTAATTTTACAAGACCGGCACATTATTTATGAACCACAGTCAACTTTTTTTTTTTTTTAATTCCCCCCCCACCTCATTTTTCAATTCTAAATTGAAGAGCAATGGTTATTTGTTTATACATTATGTTGATGTTGGTGATCAGATCCAAAAATATGCATCTTTCAGATTCGCAAGTTTAACTGCTGGGTCTGTTGTATGCATTATTGTTGAAAATTCATTGAAAAAGTCATTTGCACTGAAAACAGTAGAGAGATTCAGTTTCAACTGTTTCAAATTAACGCCGAGTCACATGATTATGAAATAAAATGTATTGGAAAATAAGAGATTTCAACAGAACGGTTTATTGCCATATAAAGTTACTTTTTGTTTTTTATACAAGTGTTGCGTGGGACACCAGAAGTGATCAGATTTTATGATAGTGGACACTAAAAGACAGCATAGAAGTCACTTTTGGTAGATGACAATATACTTTATGCGAATGCTGCTCCAACAAACATAAAGAATACATTTTTTTCTTCGGGGCCATATGTATACAACAGCATATCCATGAAGTTGTGATAACGAAAAAAAAAAAAAAAAGATCTATACAGGCTTGTAATCCAGCTTGGACTCCAGCTTCTTTGAATCGGCCACTTTACGCACGGCTTTCATGAAGTCCTCTTGGGTGACGTACTCTCTGTCGGAGCGGATGGCAAACAAACCTGCGCACGCATGAAGTCCACGTGGACAAAGGTTATGTTCAAACTCATCAAGAGGGCTCATCAAAACAGCCAAAGCTAATGATGCGGAATGTCTAACCTGCTTCTGTGCAAACGTTTCTTAAATCGGCTCCGTTGAAACCATCGGACAGCTTAACAATGGCTTCAAAATCTGAACAGAAAGGCATTTTCAACAGCGGGGATTCATTGGCTTCCAACTTGGGTTTGTATAAAGAAGACAAAACATTGTGAGAGCGATGTTTTTGCTCACCTATTTCTCCATGTTTGGTGATGGGACTGGAGTGGATTTTGAGGATGTCCAGACGAGCCTGTTCGTTGGGCAGCTCGATGTCTGTTCAAGCAGGTGATGTCAGCCAACATTTGGAGGTACAAAAAAAATATATATACATACAATTCAAAGGCTATCTTACGGATTTTGCGGTCAAGTCGGCCGGGTCGTAGCAGGGCGGGGTCCAGAGTGTCTGGTCTGTTGGTTGCCATGATCATCTTGACCCTGTGCAGCGTGTCAAATCCGTCCATCTGGTTCAGCAGCTGGCGAGAAACACATAATGATCTGTTTCCAGTCTTGACCTCACCCACCCACAGCCTTACATGGCTCTAGGTAAACATATAAGGCAATATGGGCTCAAACTGGACTTTTGGAACTTTTGTTAATGCATCAGTCCGACGTAGTGGGATGCCTTTGAGTAAAGGAGTTACCATGAAACTCAATTATGGGGCGTGGTCACCAATTTTCATCTGTAACTACAAGCTGTAACTATTCAAATCCATACACCGGCGAGGAATTCCCTTCCCATGTATTAAATATCTATTGCAGCAGCACAGCGACATTATGCATCGCTGTCACGTGCCAAAGTCGAGACACCACAGCGGCTTGTTTACCTCCATCAAAGTCCTCTGGATCTCTCTGTCAGCAGAGGTTCCCTCAGAGAAACGTCGACCACCTACAGAGAACAACGTACAACAGTTAAAATTTGACTTGACAGAGTACACCGAAACTTAACAGTCTATTTAGTTGGGGAATCAAGAATATTGATTTGACAGAGCTGATTTTAAAGTCCCTGTTTTTCCACAGGTAGGAGTTAGTCACATATGGGCAAGTCGCAAGTAAGTCTCAAGTCTTAACCTTAAAGTCTCAAGTAAGTCCCAAGTCACTTGAGGGGTAGGGGGTGGGGTCCCGTTTGGACACCAAATTTCAAGCAAGTCATAGCATTACTCAGTTCAACCAAGGCGTAAGTTCCTTCAGAAAATATTGCTCAGTAAAACATGTTGGGAGTGCCAAAATATATTTTTGATCTTACTACAACAAGTACATTATGAACATTGACATGTCTAAACTTGTTGCAGGTTGTCACTTTAATTGGCTAAAGTTGATGCAGATGAGTTTACGGGGGCGCTGCCACATCAAATATGGCGGACACTCTCACAACCCCAAAAAAAGCACACTGTGTAGACTATTTAATGTAGTACTATTCTATGTTCGACTCAATGTATCGATATCTGTGCGAAAATAATGGCATGATTTCAAGAGTAACATGTCCGCGGTGTCTAGTCTATCCCTTTACGGACTTCGGAACCAAATGCAGAAACGACGAAGTATTTGACCAGCGTACGATGAGCTAAACCGTCAAGCTAACCAAGCTAGCTCAAATTCACAGAGCCATCTTAGATGCGTCAGACAGATGAAACGAAATTTGTGCACGCGTCTTCAAATTTCAAACCTTGCATGTTGCTGTCGTATTTTTTTCAGGATGTATTGTATTGTATCCCCCCACCCCCCCGTTTCCTCAAAACCATCATCCTTGAATCCAAAGACGTCGCCGCATCTTTAATCTTTCTCCTCAATTGACTGCTAGCGACATGCGGTACACGCTGGTTGCCTACGTTTCGATGTCACTAGTTTTTGACAAATATATGAGTAGGTCTTCACGGGTGAATGAGAAGCATTAACTTTGTGCACTCTTTAGGTTGTCGCCTTTTGCAATTCATTAGTTCGCTTATGTTTGACTAGCGACAGTAGCTGTGACCTAACTGTGAAGCCAATCTCGCTTCTCAGAATCTTTCGGTTTCATATTGCTGAATGAAGTTAGTTGTCTTGGTTCTGGCTTGGATCTTTTGAGTTATAAAAAGCCTGCATGTTTGTCGTTGTCTTTATACTGATTTTATCCAAAAGATAATCCTTCAATCCAAACCGTTATTTGGAGCTCCCTCCATGAAACTCGTTTAATGAGGTGGGCTCTGCACTGGTGGCCATCCGGAGCTGCAAAGTCGAGTCGAGTCTTTCACAAGTTTTAGTCCACCAAGTCGAAAGTCAGAAAATTGGCGACTCGAGTCCTCTGGCGTTCATTATGAGGGTTGCAGCATTTTCTTATCAACTGAAGCGTCTTTCTCTTCAAATGTGCAAGTGAACACAATGCTATGGCCAGTCAGTGTATGTACCATAAACAAATGTGACTTCATTCTAAGTGGCTTAAAACAAATTAAAAAGCAAATACGGGCCCCCCAAAAAAAAAAAAAATGAATACAGAACAAATTCAGCAGAGAATCAGGGTTTCTCACCGATGGCATCAATCTCATCCATGAAGATAATGCAAGGCTGATGATCCCGGGCATAGTTGAACATCTCTCTGATGAGCCTGGCGCTCTCACCGATGTATTTGTCAACGATGGAGCTGGACACCACCTGCGAGGTAACATCAGCCTGACGCGCTGAACGGAAGCAAGACGACTTCACGTGACCAACTCGGTATGGACACTCACCTTGAGGAAGTTACAGTCCAGTTGACTTGCAACCGCCCTGGCTAAAAGAGTCTTCCCAGTACCTACAGGGGAAAACGAGTCATCAAAATTAAAACCACTTTGTCAAAAAAAAAAAAAAAAAAAAAAGACAAACGACTTATAAAAATGGAACAGAACTCATAAATTGACTTTTGACCTGGTGGGCCGTAGAGCAGGCAGCCTTTTGGGGGGATGATTCCGACTCGTTGGAAAAGCTCGGGGTTGGTCAGGGGAAGCTCAATCACCTGCCATAAAATCAAAACGTCATTACGCTGAACTCAATGATGAAAAAATTGATTCCGGGCACCTTAAACTTTTAATTACAGCACTGGATTTTTGAGAAGTCTCAGTGTGGGGACTCTTATTAGCTAAACCGCTCCAAATCTGTCAGATCGTCATCTTGTGGGTTGTTTTATTTTACCGCAGTTATAAGACTTTCAGGGAGAAGAAAAAAAATAGTGACCGCGATAAACCCATATAGGAACGCATACTCATGTTCATCAGAACAAGGACATCATGACTCTCAATTTTCCTCCTCAATATAAAGTCAGACTTGCTCTGTGACGGTACTGTAGAAAGGAGGAGAGGAAATGGTTTCACCTCTCTCAGCTCTCGGATCTGTTCTGACAATCCACCAATTTCAGAGTAGGAGACGCTGCCGGGGTCTTCGTGGGACATATTGTACACCAGAGGGTCCACCTCCCGAGGCAGGTACCTGTAAAAAAAAAAAAAAAACAACAACAAATAAAACATAATGAGCTAAGACCTATCACCCGATAAATACCATTTTGATTCAAGATCACTCTTTTGTCAAACTGCTGTTCCCTCTCCTACATTTAAAGGCACATGTAAGTTATTAATTGGGAACAGAGCCTCATATAGTGAAGCAAGGAAGACAAATGAATATAAATTCTATTTGAGCATGTTTCAGCTCACATTTTTTTACCCAAGCATGATTATAAGAGCCCTTTTTATATTATAGTGTGGTGAGACAGCAAACATGTGGTGAGACATTAGATTGCTATATAGGGACTTTATTCGTCCCGTTAGGAAAATTAGATCTTTTCCGATCAGTGACTGTGGATTTTTCAGAATGCATTGGAAATTATCATCAAATAAGAAATAAATCCAGCCTACCTCATTATAGTCAGCGTAGTCATATCTAAAGCCACTCTGGTGCCTGGTTTCAACTGTGACTTGTCCAACTAGGATGAATAGGAAGACCATTATTAATTAAAAAAAAAAAAAAAAAAGCAGTCTTACCCTTTTTTTTTAAACACGTATGTGTTGTGTACCTACCTGTCTGCGGCATCCAACCACATAACGAGGACCATTTGTTGCCTTGACAATGACTGTAATTAAAAACCACACACACACACACACACAAACATTACTATCACACAAATGATAGTATGACACAAAGATGTGATAGAACGGGAAGCTCACATTTTTCTTCCGTCAGCTGTTTGAGGACTTCTCCGACAATCTGCAAACATAGAAGCATTAATGTGGTTCAGCCTCATTAGTCACATTTCTGTCAGACACTGTTCTTTTTTTATACATTGTAAAACGTAAGACAAAGGAAGATTTTAAAACATATGTTGCAGTGTAGATGCTGATATGTTTCTGTAATTAGAAATTATTGTACATTTCAGTATGATCAATACAAAAGCATGTCAACACAATTTGCATTGGCATATAGTTGTACCACTAAGTAAAATTTGTAACACAAACAATGTTGGTATGAATTAGTTGCTGGGCAATGAGTGCAAATAATACTCTTACCTGACCAACACTCTGCAGAGCTTTGAGGTCATTCTCTGACTTTTCATACTGTTTGGTTTGTTCTCGCAACTGTTCTCTCACTGAAAATCAAGTGGGGTTAAGGGGGACGGGAGCTGCGTTTTAATTTCAAAATAAATAGACATGCAAACGACTTCTATCGAACGCCTCAGTGGACAGCTGGCTAGCCGGTGAGCAATAGTATATTTCATTATCATAATACTAGAACTAAAAAAAAAAAAAAAAAAATCGATGACGGTTTCGTGACGTTATGTACGTATATATTCATTCATGGACGCATTAATAGCTTTTGCGATTCGACAGCTATACATTAAATTCAACATAAATGGGCTTGTTTGCTCCGAGTTAGCATCTCGATACTGTACTGTTCTCCCATTCATGTGTACTACGATGCACACTGCATGACAAAGCACTAGCTAGCCAGCCAGCTAACAGATACCGGTTGTGTGCTACTATAATGTATACAGACGCAATACACAACGTGTACACAGTCACTAACGTGTAGGTACATCTTAAATGGGTTCTTACGTTCTTTTAACCGTCCGTCAACTTCTTTGTGTTCCAGCAATTTTTTACGGTAATCTTGTAGCGCTTTCTCCCGGTTGTCCGCCATGATGCTGCAATGGATTCTGGGTAGGCACAAGCGTCACCGATTGTTTTTTTTTTTTTTTTTTTTTTTTTTGCTGTTCAGCGGAGGAGACAGACGTGAGTGCACTTCTCTGCAGCAGATCAGAATTTATGAATCAAACATTCATTCATTCATTCATTTTCCGAACCGCTTGATCCTCACCAGGGTCGCGGGGGGGTGCTGGAGCCTATCCCAGCCGTCTTCGGGCAGTAGGCGGGGGACACCCTGAATCAGTTGCCAGCCAACCGCAGGGCACACAGAGACGAACAACCATTTTTCATACTCAGAGGCTGCGGAATAACCAACCATCAACTATCGGCCGCCTTCCACAACCCTAACCAAGATGCTCAACTCATTTTTCAATATTGAGAAAACAGAGCAGCACACTTATTTATGCTTTTTTTAAAAATCAATTTTAACAAATAGGATAGCCAATAAATCAAAAGGTTCACCCAGTACCCTTTTTTATAAACAAATAGTCGATTTTTTTCAGTCACTTATACAGTAGTATATGAATAAAAACTATATTTTACTAGTATTGCACTGATATAACAAACAACGACATAGAACACACTAGGTGCACTCTTGCGCCTACAATACTTGCTCAGTAGTTTTTTAAAAGTAATAAAACCAAGTACAAAAACATACAAAACACGATGGGAAGTTGGGGACACGCATCCCACAATGCCCTGCGCCAAAACAAGGACATTTTGGCACGGTAAAAAACTTGTTAATTTGAGGAAACGCCACACTTTGACACTGGTAAAGAATTGTATGCACCAGTGACCCACATCATGGGGCCAAAAGAAGGGGCCAGCACTCCACAAGCTGCCAAAAGAAGAACCAAATAAGTCGGACCACCTGCATCCAGGCAAAAAGGTCTTCTGTCCTGCAGGTCGCTCTCCATCCGTGCGCCCATTCTACAGAAGGCCGGGAAAAAATTACATAACGTGGATATTTTGTAGTTTGCTTCACCCTTTGGTGTTCAATAGTGGATGTCCTATGCGTGCAATTTCTTCTGATAAACACAATATATGTAAGAGCACGTATTTTGTCCATATTTAAAATGGGATTTTTGTAATACTTCTGGACTGGTTCGGTAGCGATGCAATCTGGACCCCCAGTGGCAGTAATGTATTGTAGTATCCTCCATAATTTATGTTGCCCATTTCTGCACTAGATACACAAACTTCTGCCCAAATATATGCACACACAAGACACAGATACTGAGACAGCTAAAAAAAAATGACGCGAGTCACGGTTGTTTTATGAGGAGAAATGACCAACAGGAGGTGCCATGGGCTCGCTGTTACATAACCCCTAATGCAGCGACAGTGTGAATTATGTAAATATTTAACAATACAGTACTTAAGTCGAAGCATGTTTCTTTTTTGAATAATAATGACACGAGAATTATTAAGTAGAGTGTTTGTCCGTGTTTTAGACCATCACAATTTCGCAGTTCATTGAACCTAAAGCTGCATGTTAATCGCCTTCAGAACTGCGAATTAACATAAAAACTTGCAAAATATTTCACAAAGTTGGTATGTTGTTATTATTATTATTATTTTAAAAATTGATCAATAGGATGGAAAACATCTAAACTGGGTGGAATTTTTTTTTTTTTTTAAATGACAGTGAGTTTCAACACTGTTTTTACTTTGTAGTAAGCAACAATGCTTGGATGAATGCCCATTGACATTAACACACAATAATTGATAAATAATCAATTTGTGAGCGGGACACCGCTATCGTGGACATTATTAGGCCTATTATAAAACTGTCAATAAACTGTGTGAAATTTAAAACTGTTGTGTTGTCTCTGGCAACATATAACATACCAGAACATGTTAGCAGAATTCTCAATTTAGGGCTATACTTGAAGGCTTGGTTCTCTGACATGGGGGTTACCTTCCCATCGTGCCATATAGTGTTGAACATCACCATGTTCCCAATTCTTTTTTTTTTACCCTGAGATAACCTTTTCTTCTGTTCTTATGAGATCAGCTTCTCGCTTCTCTCTGATCAGTGTGTTGGCAACATGACAAGTAAAGCCAAATAAATGTTGAATATTTTATAGTTCTTAAGTGTGAAGTCTTTTTTTTAATCCAGACTGGTAAATTACATGGACAGTTAAGATAAGATTTGTAGATGTATATATCACCATTTATATTTCTTTCTCTACATTTTGTAATAGATTTTAGATTTGTTTGCCTAAAAAGGGCGATTTTTTTTAAACGCTTTGTTTCAGCTACAGCTGTTGTGAAAGCACTATATATATATCACTGTAAATTTGCATCATCATAAATCATAAAAAAAATGAAATAAAAGTTCAACTAAATCCAGAATGGATGGATTCATTATTTTGTGTTATTTCTACAAAAAAGATCTCAATCTATAAAAAAAAAAAAAAGTCAGGAATCACCCACATATATACGTACATTACAATACTTGAAGGTGTGATTGTCTCACAGTTCGTGGACGAACTGAATGGTGATTGGATCCCACAAATGTAGACACAAACAAAATCCAGAACAAAAATGTTTACTTATTGAGTAGCGCACCAATAAAGTATAAACAGAAACCGCTGGTCACCAGGAGCCAGGAAAACCAACGGATAAACAAGCAATTGCAAAAGGCAAGGTAATAATAAATCAGAGAATGTAAACGAAATGACAAGAGTCCAATTACATAAAAAATAAATAATGAAATAAATAAGAGCAGGACAAAATAATATCAGTATTTACAAACGAGGGACTGGAGAGCAAAAACAACTTTGACATGATCGAGAGGTCTACAAACAACACCTGAACATGAGCAGCAAACAGGGTCAATAATGCGATGGAGATTTGGAAATTAGGCAGTCCTGAAATACATGGCGAGCTGATGAACATTGGCAGCAGGTGTGCACGCTGGATGGAAAGCCCTCCTCTGCCACCTGCTGGAGACACACAAGAATAGAATCATGATTGACTGTCAGTTTAAATTGTTGTCTGTCTTGTAATAATTTGTAATGTTGCAATGACAGGTCAGTATGCTCATCTTCTTCTTGAACCATGTCACGGCCCAACATGTTGAAAGGTGTAACCTTTAACCTGCCCCATCACTCTCACACATCTCTTCCTGCATGCGAGTGGGTTGTTTCTTTGTGCGCTCAGTGCATCCAAAAAACATACTCCATCACAGAAAAAAAAAAAAAACATGGGATGAATAAAGTATCTCCATCTTTTTCCTTCTAATATTTTTGTGAAACCTAGAAAACCAGTTTTGGTCATGAAGCCCTTTGGCCTGCTTGGCAGCTTGCATCTCTGACAAAGCATGCCTCTTAACCAGAGCTCTGTAACCACAGCAGCCACAACTCTGGCTGGAATTTCCAACAACGCGAAGCTGAACGTGTGCACACATCCCCATGTATACACACACACACACACACGCACAACACTGCTTGTTTGGAGTATTTTTCAGCCACAGACACAGAGACCATGTAATTTCACAGCTGTGAAAGAGCCACAGGAAGGAGAAATGTTAGTCTGTGTGTGGCTGCTTCCCTCTGGTTGTCACACAAGTAGCTGGTTGCCTGAGCCTGTTTATGTATCTTGTATTACGATTCCAAGTGTAGCTAAGTTTGGAGAAACATGCTCCAAGCATTAAAAAAAAAAAAAAAAAATCAACTGAGGGTCTCTGAGACAGCATTGATAAAAAAAAAAACAAAACAGACAAATGCTATCTCCACAACTCACGAGTCATTAATCATACTATATAATTATTGATGATTTATTTGATATCATTTCCAGCGCATAATAAAACAAAACTCCTGTATATTAACAAATCTATGCAATGCAACGCAATAATCTTACAAAAAAAGTGTGTTATTCTCTATCACAACTAACATATCTGGTAAAGCAAGACTTAAAAAAATCATGGTTACCATATTTCTACGAAATATATTCATCAATCCATTTCCTATACCGTTTATGCTGTTCAGTTATGCAGGGAGCTGGAGCTTATTCCTACTGACTTTGAGATAAGGCCTGGACTGGTCGGCAGTTAATAAGGGTACTCATAAAAACAGAATATATATAGATATCTATATATCTATATATCTATATATATCTGGTAAAGCAAGACTTAAAAAAATCATGGTTACCATATTTCTACGAAATATATTCATCAATCCATTTCCTATACCGTTTATGCTGTTCAGTGATGCAGGGAGCTGGAGCTTATTCCTACTGACTTTGAGATAAGGCCTGGACTGGTCGGCAGTTAATAAGGGTACTCATAAAAACAGAATATATATAGATATCTATATATCTATA